AAATTGGGGCCGCAATCTATTTCACAATTGGAATGATTTTTTTAAATTTGTTTAACATTTTTTATTGGAAAGATCACAACAAAATTTATGAGTACTTTAATTTTTATTTTTTTTCACCCATTCTTTTGAGCGTGAAAACTCACTGAATTTTGAGTATTTTTTCAGTTCGCCCATACATGGTTGAGTGGCAAAAATGGGAAATGTGTTGAATCGGAGTGAGGATAATTTCGCTATCTATATAATTTTTTGAAAATGTTGTCATACTTTTCATGGAAAGAACACGACCTCATTTGTGGATTCTCGAAATTCTATATTTGTTTGTGGATTCCTCAAAGCATAGAAAATCATCAAAGTTGTCTTTTGCAAAACGCCTGTTTTGTTGCACCCGACCTCCCTGTTTTGAGAAGAGAGACCTCAATGTCTGGGCCTGAGGGACCTTTTGCAGTTTACATGCCCTCACTTCTGTTTGGGGTCCGCTTCCACCCGAGGACCGGTTTTTCCTTTTCGAAAAGTCTATGTTCTACAAGAGCTAGTTGTAGGTAGTCCACAATATCTTGAAAGATCAGTCCCCCAACCCCCCCCCTCTTCTAAAACCCCACTTGCATCGTAGTTGCCTGCCGCCAAAAATGCAACACCTTGACACAGACACCGAAGCCCACTATATCGCAATCTTAGGACTGCGAATAATGACAATAAAAGAGGTATGGCCGTCCTGTCCGGATTTGACAAGAGGAATGGACGACATGGATTGACTTACCGTGAGGGCAAAGTTGTGCAGACCATAGTTTGTTTGTTGGTATGGTTGGGGAAGGGGTAGTGATTGTACGGTCTTTATGTTTTGTTTTTTTTCACAATACACAACTTTGAGAGTGTGTGGGTAGGGATCCCGACGATGTTGACCTGGTTTTCAACAGGTGCCGCTCCCCACTAATAGACAGGAGCATTTTGCCCATAATTCCACTGTAGGGGATGCTTAAATCACCTCCTCCAGTGAGCTGAATCGGATTTTTCAGGGAAAAAAAAAAATAGTGTGTGTGTGTGGACGTGTGTTTGTGAGAGGTAAGTGTATGTGTGTGTGTGTGTGTGTGGACGTGTGTTTGTGAGAGGTAAGTGTATCTGTGTATGTGTGTGAGAGAGAGACAGGGAGAGAAAGAATCATGCAGCATGTTAGTGACCAGGAGCACAAGGGCGGCCGCTAACCTCGAAAAAAAAAAAGAAGGTAATATTCTATTCGAATACAATAGTTTTTTCCTTTCGAAATTTGAATAGAAAAGATATGTGTTGTATTCGAATACAACATATTCGCGGTCTATTCAAAGTGTCCTTCTATTCGAAAAAAGTGGACCCACGCTGTTTCGATTTCGAAATGTTCAACTCAAGGACCATTGCCTCCTCAGCCTCCTACAGGCAACTACCTATCGTCTGCAAGCAACAACTGCCCGTTCCCCACAAATTCCCCCCTTAATCACTTTTGTTTGGATCCGAACAAACGACCGGTAAAACAAACAATGACGAAATCAACTCAAGGGTATAAAACGCACCCCTGACAGGCTGCAAACTAAGTTGTTGTGGGCGGGGTTCATGGGTTGGCCTAATAATTTTATCTACCGTGGGGCGCGAGAAACGCAGCCGTGAGGGCTATGCTCCTTATAGTTGTTCTTTTGAACATTGTCTATCATGTGAGTATGGGGAATGCAACCCTGAGGGTAGATGTAATGTTTTGAAAGTTAAATAGAGAGAGAGAGAGAGAGAGAGAGAGAGAGAGAGAGAGAGAGAGAGAGAGAGAGAGATTATACACATCTAGATGTGTATAAGAGACAGGACAAAGGAAGGACAT